CTACCATCACCAGCAAACAACTCACTTACCTTCCGTAATCTTCAGAATCGACCCGTTGCAGCCCTGGGAGGGCGGAGAATAACCGCTACTCCTGGTCAAGAGACAGGGGCTTCAGACAACGGGGAAGTTAGCGAACCACTTGGGAGAAGAAAAAAGGAGCAGAGCAAAGGATGACACCAGGCTATATAGTTTCTGAATGGTCATCCGGTGTCACAGGTGTGACTCTGTTGGTATAATTACTCGAACTGCGCATGCCCGAAGGGAACATTCAGTGCTTTCAGCACCGCCCTCTGGCGGTCAGTAGGGATGAAATAGAACAGGTTCGTATTCACCTCCCTTATGGGCTTGTGATTTAACTCTTTATTCACGTTTCCAAAATATATTTTAAAAAGTCACCATATTAGGATATTTTTTTGTCAAGTAAGATTTATTATTTGCCCTGGGTATTAGAAAAGTCCTGTTCCGGCGCTGCACACAGCGGAGCAGCATGTCGTCTGGTGGACCCAGAAGGAGCTGGAACTTCTTCCTTAATATTTCCAATTAGATTCCTAATTGGCTGATTGTGAAGAACTGGGTGTGAAAACCCGCTGCTGTTCCGATGCAGCCATGTTTCTGATCTTCAGCTCTGAGGTAGCAGCTGTTCCAGATGTTCCACTGAGGCGACCTTCCCTCAGGGCAGGGACCCTCAGCAGCCTGCAGGGATCCGCCTCCTGGATCTACAGACTGACCACTGAGCTTCTTCCTCAGAGCAGAGAGGATGTCTGTACAGACCAGGAGTCTCCTGAGGTCTCCTGCTCCACAGGTCCATGAAGAACATCCAGGAGGCCGTTAGTAGAACGTTAAGGAGTTTAGTTCCATGGCTGCATCAGCGAAGTTCCGCTGACTTTAACCAAAGCTCCTGCAGAGACGACCTTAAGGTCAGAGTGAAACTGAAACGGCTGTGTGTTTCCTGCAGGGTTCTGTGGCCTACGTTCCACAGCAGGCCTGGATCCAGAACTCCACGCTGAAGGAGAACATCATGTTCGGCCAGGAGATGAGGGAGGACTGGTACCAGCGGGTGGTGGAGGCCTGTGCCCTCCAGCCAGACCTGGAGATCCTCCCTGCTGGAGATCAGACGGAGATCGGAGAGAAGGTCTGAATGAAAATGTTGTCCTGCTGCTGGTCTCCATGGAGACCACTCTGACCTCCACCTGTGTTCAGGGGGTCAACCTGTCTGGAGGCCAGAAGCAGAGGCTGAGCCTGGCCAGGGCCGTGTTCTGCGACCGGGCCGTGTACCTGCTGGATGACCCGCTCTCTGCCGTCGACGCTCACGTTGGAAAGCACATCTTCGACCACGTCATCGGCCCGCAGGGCCTGCTGAGGGACAAGGTGGGTCGGCTGCTGGTTTGCTGCGAACAGCTACGGCTGCAGGAAACGTTCCTGACAGGAAACCGCCATCGATAACCACGCTAGTCAGAGAAGCTCCAACGCCACGGCGCCGCTCCGGGCGGCCGCAGACCGGCGCTGGGAGAGACGCTCTGAGCAGCTGCTCTTCATTTCAGCTCCAGTTCTGTGGGTGGAAGGAAACTGGAAATCTCCTGACATGAAGCTCTGGTTTGTTTGGATACTTGCAGACCCGGGTGCTGGTGACCCACGGACTGAGCTACCTCCCCCAGACTGACCTCATCCTGGTCATGGTGGAGGGTGAGATCACAGAGGTGGGCTCATACCAGCAGCTCCTGGCCAAAGAGGGCGCCTTTGCAGAGTTCCTGAAGACGTACGCCAACGTGGAGCAAAGTGAAGATGGTGGTGAGCAGCCGTTCATTTGCTTCCACAGGTTCTGGATCAGCGTGTTTCCACTAAGCCTCCTTTCCTTCCTGCTCAGGTTTAGCAGCTGAAGCTAAGAGTGAAGCGGCAGCGCTGGAGAACGGAGATGTTCCTGCTCTCATCGGGTGAGTGGATCTGCTGTGGAGCCGCAGGTCTGCGTTCAGGTTCTTTGGTCTGACCAGGAGCAGATCGGAGTCCATGAATGTTTGGATCGATGATCCTGCGGTGCGGTTCTGGACCGCTGCGTCACAGAGCTTTAATATCGGTCTGATGGCGCCGTGATGTTCTGACAGCGCTCCATGAGCCGCTCTGCAGCGTGGTTAATCCTCTTTAGTACCATCATGTTGGATGTTTGCACGCTCAGCGTTCACTATTGCATCACTACAGCCCTAGCTTCACAGTTTGACCTTCATCGATAGCCAGACCAGCTCTGGACACTCAAACCCTCCAGAACAGAACTGCCATAGAATCTGCTGATGATAATGATCCAGTAATGAGTTCTGTAGGATCATAGATGGTAGAAACATGTTCTCCATCTTTAATCAATCAATCAATCAATCAATCAATCAATCAATCAATCATCCAGCAGCAGGAAACTCTTTGATCTCCAGACTGATGTTGGCTTCAGCCTGAGAGCAGACATGGCAGCCCCCCCCCCCGCTGTGTCCCTGCATGACGTCTCACCAGAGGAGGCGTCTGTTGGGTGGGTTCGGCCCGCCTTTGGCACCAGGATTATTTGATCACCAGAAACCAGTCAGTAACTGGTTTGGTCCCAGCGTTAACGTTACCGTCCCAACATCTTCAACAGTTAAATGGCTGCAGGCATCACGGCATCATGTTGCTATGACGACCCGGTCCACATTCAGGGTAAAGCTGAGGGCTGTAGAGGCGTAGGTGAAGGGGCTGAACCTGTACACCGTAGCCCCAGCAGTGGGCGCCGCGGCCAGCCGGTCCATGGCGCCGCGGCCAGCGGGGCCATGGCGCCGTGGTTCTGAAGCGGCCACCATGCTTCCTGCTGCTGCTCGCTGCAGCTTATTCAGAGCTTTACAGCAGCATGAGGCTGAAGTTCTTATCTGAATGGAAGGACGTTTATAACAGCCATGTTTATTCCATCACTGCTTTATGCACACATGATGTTCTGCTCTGGATCCAGTCTGAACCGGACCTGATCTGCCTCCATCCACAGCGGCTCTGCTGCCACGGCGCAGACCACAGCGTCTGCAGAGACCGATGGAGGCGCCGACCTGAACAAGAAGGCCAAGAACCCTGAGATGGGGAAGCTGACGGAGGCTGACAAGGCCAGCACTGGGCGGGTACGTAGGTTCCACCGCCGCGGCGTGCACCAATAAGACTTCATTCATTATATCATCAGCAGATGTTCAGACGTTCACCCGAGGAGGTCAGAGAGGGTTCTATAGCTCCTCCCTGGCTGAAGGTGGAACATCAGATGTCTAAAGGCCGTCCGTCTGTCCAGAGGAGTCATTTTCCCAGCGCTGAAGCAAAGCCATGGCCTGACCTAGTGCTCCATCTAACCCGTGTTAGATGGAGCACTAGGTCAGGGGGGGGGGGGGGGGTTCCACTTCCTGGGGGCCGCTATCCTGCAACCTTTAGATCCATCCTTGGTCCAACACACCTGAATCAGATGGCTGAGTTACTTCCTGAGTATGAGGTCACTTCCTGCAGAGGCTCTCATTGATCTTATTACAGGATTCAGGTGTGTTGAAACAAAGGAACGTCTAAAGGTTGCAGGATACCCTCCCCGTTGGATGATTAAATCCATCCTGGCTGATCTCCGCAGCCTGAATGGTCATGCTGTTTATTCCCCGGATGCTGGAGAGGATGTGGAAGTCTTGTCTCCTTCAGGTCCAGATGTTTCTCCTCTTTCCTTCCTGCTAAAAGCTTCATGGGACTCTGAACCGAAAGAGGCTTTAAATGAGAATCAGTGTGAGGTCTGCAGACTGTGACGGGATGATTGTGAGGTCTGCAGACGTTGTGAGGTCTGCAGACGGTGACGATGGTTGTGAGGTCTGCAGACTGTGACGGGATGATTGTGAGGTCTGCAGACTGTGAGGTCTGCAGACGGTGACGATGGTTGTGAGGTCTGCAGACTGTGACGGGATGATTGTGAGGTCTGCAGACGTTGTGAGGTCTGCAGACGGTGACGATGGTTGTGATTGACAGCTACCAGACGCTCTGCTCTGCCTCCTCAGGTCAAGCTGGCCATATTTTGGGCCTACCTGAAAGCCATTGGTGTGATTCTGTCCTGCATCAGTCTGCTGCTCTTCCTCACCCATCACGTGGTCTCCCTTTTCTCCAACTACTGGCTCAGCCTGTGGACGGACGACCCCGTGGTCAACGGCACCCAGCCGTACAGACTCACCAGGCTGGGGGTGTACGGCGGTCTGGGCCTGACCCAAGGTAAGTCAGGATATAATCAGACTCTTTCACTGAACTTCTGGCTGTGCTGAACCCTCCACAAATATTCCTCTTTTGTCCATTTATTGTCCATTAGTGTGTGAGGACAGAATGGGAACTAACTTGTAAAGTAGAAGCTGAGACCTTCTTTCTTCTGGGGAGGTTTGAAGGTGGATTAGGATCAACGTCCAGTTTGAATCTCAACCGATCCCGACAGGAAGAGAAATGTTTTAAACGGCTGCAGGCTGGAAGGGTCTCCTCTAGCAGCTCTGAGAAATCCTCTGCCTGAAGACACTCTGTGGTTGACCCAAAGGTCTGGACCACTCGGATTATTCGCAGGGTTCTCCAGAGTTTAGAACAGAAGAAATAGATTCAAAGAAAGGCTGGATTGCGCAGAATGTTAGAGATTGAACTAACAGATTCTGCAGAATAGGAGAACAGAGAGAGAATGAAGCAGAATGATGAACTGGGGGTCCCTATGTCCTCCAGCACCCGATAGGCCTGGTTATCCTCTGCAGCAGAGTGTCGCAGTGAGCTTGATGCAGACATTTTTGATTTATGCTCAATATTGCAGCGTGGTCTGCTCTATACGCTGTGGGTCTAGATACGGCCGAGGCGGAGAGGGAGTGGGGGCGCATTCGTCCAACAACGGAGGGACATGAGGGCCAAAATCCAGGTGGAAAAAGGGTCCCAGCGTTCCCGCCTCGCTCTGCTAGCTGCTCCATCTTCACCAGTCGTTTTCCGCAATTGCGTTCATAAAAACAAAACAAGCCGGCCTCCTGTCTGCGGCCTCCTGTCTGCGACCTCCTGTCTGCGGCCTC